TTCAGTTAGGAGAGTAGTAGCAATCGTAGCTGATGTCTCTGAGCATCAGTTTCCTTATCTACAAAATGGTTTCATAATGGTCAATATCCATAGGGTTGTTGGAAGGATTGAAGTTAATATCCACGAGCTCTAGGAATAGTGCCTGGCACATGTGAAGCCCTCAATGAGTGTGAGTGTTTATTAAACAGGGCCTAAGACATCCGTGAGAAGGAGAGATGAACTGGGACTCTGGGGTGGAGGTGGTGAAGGCTTCTTTGAAGGAGGAGGATGTGGGGGATGCTCTGTGTCAGGCTCTGTAATCATTTGTCAGAGTGGTTCATAACTTGCCTGAGGTCGCACAGCTGGTGAGTGGGGTAGCCAGGCTTCAGTGATGGTCCGGGTGGCACCAAAGCCTAGACTCTTTCCCTTCCCATCCCTGGGCCTTAGTAAGATAGGGCCAGCTTTCCCTGGCTCTCATACTCCAGGAGGGACGGCCCTCATTTCAAGGTGAAGCAAAGAGATTATTATTAGCTGTAGGGTAAAAGTCCTCTGGAGGGAGTCTCCAGCTCTGTTCAGCCCTGGAAGTGCTATATAATTAAGAAAATATGGCGGGCGGGAGGGGAGGTGAGCGCTGAAATTTTCAGCAGCCCATTGCCACAGAGCACAGAGCAAGAAGTAGTCATACGAAGAACGTTGGAGGCCTGAGGTTCAATGTTAAGGAGAGGGAATGGTGGGGTGAGGGTCGGTTAGGGGGTGAGAGAAAGGAAGATGCACGGAAGATGAGGAGGTGGGAAGGCCATGCAGGTGATGAGGGGCTGGAGGGGAGGAATCCAGCTTTGGCAGGATCTGGGCTGCTGGGGAGCTCCAGACTTTGGGCAAGGGTGCCCATCTGGGGCCAGACCCCACAGAGCAGTGGCAAAGGGTGAGTCTTGGTGGGGGTGGGGGTGGGAGGCCAGTTGGCCAGCCTGGGACAGCATGTGCGAGCCAAACGTTCGGCCACAAGCCTGGCTCCTCGCCTTCTCCAGCTCAGCAGCCGGCTTGGCTAAAGGTCAGCTCCCAGGCTGGGGCCAGCATGCTCCCTACTGATCGGCGCCCACAGGCCTGGCCTTGTCAGGATGCCGTTGCGTCCTTAGCAGCTGCTCAGCTCCTGACTGATGCTGCCTTTTGGATATTCAGAGATGAATGGGAAATGGTCCCAGGCTTCAAGGAATTCACAGATGAAGAGTCAGGGAGACAAAGGAGGAGTATGTAGGCAGTACAGTTTGCCCTGGCTCACTTTCTCAAGACAGTTTTTCAAATATTGGACGATGTATGTTGTGTCCTTTATCGTCTGAAATAAAAATTGGGCTCAATCTCTTTAGTCTTTCTTGCGCTTTTATTCAATAAATGCTTATGGAGTGTCTTCTGCTGTCCTCTTCTGGATGCTGTTTGGTTTACAGAGTATAGGAGAGAACTCAACACGTCTGATGATGTTTGAGAGGCATGGAATAGAGTAGAACTCTCATCTCCTTTGGTCTAGATTCTATACCTCTATTAATGCAACCCAAAGAGCATGTGCCTTTTGGTGGCAGCCATATCCTCCTGAGAGCAGAATTCTGAATTTTCTGTTTTCTGTTGCCGCTAAATCTTAGACTTTTCCTTGCACGAACTATTATTAATTCAGTGTTTTTATTTTATGACTTTTTAACCTTAGTTTAGGACTTGACCTCAAGAGAAATGTTCCCTTACTAATTCTGGTCTGTTTGTAGTGTCACTTTTGTATTTTGGTTCAGTTCAACATCTTTCTTTTGCTTTTTTACCTTTGTGTGCTTGGTAAGCCTTGGTTCTAAGTCTTCATCCAAGTTACTGATAAGTATGTTGGACAAGCCAGGGCAGAGGACAGAGCCCTTTGGCAAGTCAGGAAGTTGACATTGATCTATTAATCAACACCCCTTGGCTTGCTGGCTCGGAATCCACTCGGCTTTCTATCTCGTCTCCAAGCATTTCATCACGGCTCCTGCCAACACCTTCCTGAAATCCAGATAACGTGGCGGGGGGGGAATCCCCGACTGTCCAGTCTAGGGACCTTGTAATAATGGGGTTAGGGTGGTGGGTGTGTGTGTGAGGGAGGGCTGTGGGTTCTCTGAAAGGATCCAGGCTGAAGCCGGTGACCATCGCTGGTTTAGGCTTGAGAGAATCCTGTCCCAGAGGCGATTAACTCCCAGAGTCCTTACAGCTTTAAAATTGGCTTTCTCAGGGGAGACAGGGATTTGTGTGCAGTGAACTGGCACCAGCAATGACTTTCTGCCAAGGACCAATGTCTGCCTAGAAACGTATTCCAGCAGTCTTCCGAGGGATCTTCGAGGTTGTCAGATGGGGGGATGGAAGCCAAGAGGGACCAAGAGGGTCCTCTGGTCACCAGGGCATTGGTGGCCGAGTGGGGCTGGACCCCAAGGCCCTGACTTCCAGTCTGAGGTTCTTGGGGCTGGATCCGAGTGCCTTTCCTGGGTGGAAACTGAGGCAGGCTCAGGAGGGAGGGGCTGCCAGCGTGTGTCTTGGGGGCAAGCTGTTGGCAGGCCATTTTTCTCATGCTTCTCCTGTTCTTTTGATCCTCTGTCCTCAGACCACAGGCGCAAACCAGAGAGGAGGAAACCAGAATGTGGAAGGCCTGGAGCTTCTCCCTCCCTGGGGCAGTGTGTGGCAAAGGGCCCAAGGCTCTGCCCAGCTCTGTACTCTGAGAGATGCTGGGAATGCATGCAAATGAGATGCAAATAAGGGGCAGTGGTGAGGAGGGGGTGCCCCTGCTGCTGCTTCAGTCTGGCCTGAATGTCGAGGATGACAAACAGAAAAGGAAGAGACCTGTGACCTGGGCTGTGGAGCCCAGCATCAGGAAGGAAAGGAGAGGGGCTCTGTGGGGCAGCAGGGTGGGGTGTGGCTTCTGGAGCCAGCTCTGGGGAGGGGGGCACGCGGAAGGGGGAGGACCAGAGAATGGCCCTGAGATGAAAGTATCCTGGAGAAAGCCCAAGCTCATCTCTAGCTGCAGGGGTCGGGGGGGGGGGGGGGGATGTGGTCAGAAGGGAGAGGGTGCAACTCAATGCACAGACATTGACCAAATGCCTATGGTGTCCCCCACGGCCTGGCTCCCAGCCAGCTGTGTTATGGGCCCAGCAGGATTCTGAGGCCCAAGGCCTCTCCCCTGGGGACCTGGGCATGTGGCCCTCCCTGCCTTTTCTGTGGTAGAGAGGGAGGAAAAGAGTGGGGGCCAAGGGCGCTAGAGGGGAGTAGCTCCAGCATCTCCCTGCCCCCTGTGCTAGGAAGATTGGGAAGCCAATTCCTGCTGCTGGGTGTTGGTCTACTCATAGCCCAGCTCAGAGGAACTTGCCCTTAGCTCCAGAAGGATCTGGGAACCTGGCCCTGCAAGAGTCGGGGTTACGTGACACATGACACGATGACCTCCAGAGGGAGTGCTGGCACCCAGCATTCCCAGTTGTATTGGGGAGTGAGACAGCCTTGAGTGGGAAGACCTGGATTCAGACTCTGTTTCATCAGCTGCCCTGTGGTCTTGGGTTAACAGCTCTGAGCCCAGCTCTAAGACTGGGATAAGAATGACAGCTTATAGCCATTTCTCAGATTTGAATGGGGGCCTGCATGGAAACACACACGGGAAAGTTTTGGTGCAGGGTAGGTCCTCAAGTATTGATGCAAATGGAATGAAGGATAACATGGGAGCAACTCTGTGCTGGCCCGTGGGGCCACGAGGCCAGGGGGAGTCTGGATTCAACATTCGCTGGCAGTATTTCCCTTGACTTTATCTTTGCCCTTTCTTCTCTGTCTCTGTGTGTCCCTTTGTCCTCCTTTCTGTCACATCCCCTCCTGTTCCATTGAAAGTGCCTAACTCAGCACCTGGCCCCGACATGCACGATTCATTTCTCTGCTCTTCTCAATGGCTACTCTGTGGCTCAGTGGCCCTGTCCCAGCGCCCCCAGCTTTGTCTCCTTGCTCCTTCTGGGTCTCTGTTTCTGACCCCCTCTTTGTCCTGCTCTCTCTCCTCCTGACTTTCCTTGCTCTCTGTTTCTCCTGCTTCTATCTTCCATCAACAAGCATCCATTGACTCCTTGCTAGATGCCAGGCACAGCCCTGCTACTTTCTGGGTTCTGTGTCTCTCTCTGCCTCCTTGCTGCCGGCCTCTCTCCCTCCCACCCCTTCAGCCTCCTGCCCTCCCTTCCCCCAGCTCCACAGTCTCCAACACTGGTATTATTCAGTTTTATGAGAAACCCCCAGGCCTACCCCTGAATGGACCAACCACAACTGGAACCAGATGTGCAGTCCAGCACGTGGGGATGGGAGGGAGGGAGGGAAGGAGGGAGGAGGGAAAGGGGCATGGGCTGGCTTAGGAGGCAGGGAGGGGATGGGGGTTGGGAGATGGAAAACCCTGGGAATCCCTTGTCTGCTCTGGCTCAGGGGAGGAGGGCTTTATGGAGGGGAGGGAATAGGGGCTAAGCAGTCTCCTGTAGAAAGCAGCTCTCACTGTGTGTGTGTGTGTGTGTGTGTGTGTGTGTGTGTGTGTGTGTGACTATGCATGTGCATGTGTGAGAGGCTGAGACTGATACTGGTGAAAGTCCAGGGAGGGACTGGGGGTGGATGGTCATCTATGGGACAGCTCTTAGAAATAAAGGGAAGGCTACTTAATTTCTTTGGAATCTCCCAGCTCCTTGGAACCCCCTCCCTCCCATTCCATCTATCCTTGACCTTCTGTCTGTGTGGTTTCTAGAGGCTTACTGAATTCATGCCTCCTTGCCCCGGGAGGGCTGGGAAAGAGAGGTGGTATTGCGGTGGAGGATGAGAGTGTCACCTCCAGTGGCTTCTTGCTAGCAACTGAAGCAGGCATCTCTCAGAGCCTCCTGATCTGCTGCAGATGATGCGTGAGGGACATGGTGTAAATGATCCTCAAGTCCTAGCAAGGTCAGTTTTTCTGATGGTCAGTTTTTTATATAGCTTTGAAGATAAAAGTCTGCCAACAGTTATCTTGGTACAGCTTTGTACAGAATCAAACATTAAGAAGTGTTCGTTTATTCAGTCTGTAGCCAACCATCCATCTATCCATCACTCCACCATTTATTTATTCAGTCTGCATTCACTGAGAATCTATGCGGCCACCTTGCACTGGGTACCCAGCATGCGAGGAAAGGGGAAGGAAATGACGAATGAATCTTCGCTCAACTCACTGGGACATAGACAAGTGCACCCAACCAGTGAGTGTCCATTAATGTATGAGCAAGAGCCCTCAGTGTTCAGAGGAGGGGCCAGTGCCTACTGGAGGGGCAGTTGCAGAAGGACCCAGGGAGGATGTGGCTTTTGAATTGAGGCCTGATCGTGGAGAAGGAAAAGGGGGAATGGTGCCTTGAAAAGGCTTCGAGGTGGGGCTGTGTCACAGAGGGTCCTTCTGCAGTGCTGGGACTGGATCTGGTAGGCAGTGGGGAGCCTGGGATAGTTTGGGGTCAGTCAGGGTGATGGTGGGGTGTGGGTTGGAAGGAGGAGAGGGAGAGGATGGCGTGTCTGCCATTCATGACCCAAGACAGGGAGGGGGTTTCCGCTTCTGTGGCAGACTCCCCATCTACCTTTAGGGGAGCCCAGATTGCTGACGTGGAATCTCTCACTTCCCTCCCCTGACCAAGGCTGAACCAAGCCCCTGAGTCGATGTTGGTCTGCAGGGATGTGGGAGTTAGTAGGACAGGCTATTAGGATTCATCTTTGTCCCAGAGTTGGGACGAGGGAGGGCTAGACTCTTTCCTCACACAGTCCACAGTCTCAGAGGCACATTTTGTGGGGCCACGTCTCTCCTATCTCTGTCTCTGGCTGCACCTACACACTCACAGAGGGAGGCCACTGGCAAGGGCTGGTAGGTTTAGAGATACTGGGATTTGGGACTCTGGGAATCCAGACTCTCCACCTGGGAAGGGGTGAAGTCATCTTGTTCTGGAGGCAGGGGGTGGGCGCAGTGATGCTTCCATCTCTACCCTGCCCACATTAGGGTCCTGGGAAGGTGCCCTACTCCTACCCCCCCAATCCTCAAGGCTTCACTGTCACTGAAGCAGGGGGAGCAGCCCTCCAAAGTACTGATCGTTGCCCTGTGACACTGGCCCTAGATGCCCCCAGATCTTTCCTGAGACTGTCCCTCCTCTGGGTCTTCCCTGTCACTTTCCTGGGGAAGCGTTTGGATGAATTAATAAAATTAGTGAGTGTTAGAACTGGAAGACATCTTGAAGACCTTTGGATCCAAACTCATCATACAGCAGGGGGAACTGAGGCTCAGAAATGCAGGTCACTGGCCCAGATGGGGAAGAGAAGGGCCTTTCAGTGTCTGGAGAGCTGAGCGGTGAGGAGCTTGGCTCTGGAATGAGCCTATCCAAGGTCGACTTTCTGCTCAACACCATCCTGTGTGGTCTTGGACAAGTCACCAAAGCACTCCAGGATCGCTTTCTTCAGCTAGAATAACAGGGGAGATTTGAAGGTTAAGTGAGAGAGAGAATATTCTTTAAGTGTCCGGCATGCAACAGGTGTGTTGCAAATAAATGACTTTTCCCTTCTCCTCAAAATAATCCTGTCCACTTATCTTCAAACTTTTCAAATCACGTTTCCCCTGGTATTTTTAATTATAAATAAATGTTGTCCATATAGGAAAGTTGAAAGGATTAAATGGTAAACTCTGTAGGTTCTATAATGAATCCTTTGGTATATTTGCTTTATCACATTTCTGTTTATCTCTCCATCCATCGGTCCATGTTATTGTTTGATGCGTTTCAAAGACAGCTGAAGCATGCAATTCATTAACCGGAGTTCCTCTTCGCATCACTTTTGCATATAAAACCACAAATGCCTTCACTCAGCCGGGAGAAAAAAAGCAGAGATGAAGAAAAAAACGGGCTCAGAAGTGAGATTCTGGGTCTTCTGTCACAAAATGAGTTGGGATTGGCATAGAGCAGGGTGCTCTCCAAAAAATTGGGAGTTGCCAGTTATTCTGATTATTATCATCGTTACTGCCATGTGACCAAACATCCTTCTCCGCCCCGCAGCCCTTTGGCCATTTCTCTGCCGCTGTGTTTCTTCCGTGGGGTCCTGGACCTCTTGCCACCTGTCCTCCCGCTTCTGCCCCCAGGCCCTCTGACGCCTCCCTGCAGGTCCTTGGCTGGCTGCTGAAGGAGGTGGGGGCTGCATTGCGGGGGCCCCAGGCGCCCGCCCTCCCTGCCGGGAGCTGCCCGGAGTCGGCTGAGCGCTTCAGGGGTTAAAGGCGGCGGCGGCGGCGGCGGGCGGGCTGCTGGCCGGCTCGGGGAAGGAGGCGGTGCGCCGCCGGCCGGCCCGCCCGCCGCCGGGGGAGGGAGCCGGGCGAGCGGCGCCCTGGCTCAGTTGCTCCCAGCAGTGGCCCTGGGACCAGCTCCGCTCCCGCTCCCGCTCCCGCCCGGACACCAGGCTTACTCACGCCCTCCTCCCGGCAGCCAGCTTACCAGCTTCTTGCCCCGTCATTGCCCACTGCCTCTGTCCCAGACAGAGGGGCACCCAGGCACCCACCCACCCGGTGGCTCTTCGGTCAGAAAGGTGAGTGTGGGGTGTGTGTGTGTGTGTGTGTGTGTGTGTGTGTGTGTGCTGGCCTGTCCTACTGATGCTGTCAGGACCTCCCATCACATAAATTAGGGGAGGGGGAGGTCAGCCCACCTGGTCACCTGTCCCGGGGCTAGGCCAGCCCCCAGCCCCCAGCCCGACCTGTCAGTCCCCTGCCCTCATTGTCTGGTTCTGGCAGGGTGTCTGGGGTGTGGTTGTCCCCCCCGCCAGAAGAGACCAGTCAGGAGGAGTTTTGTTGGCCGGGGAAGTTGCCGGTGTCAGTGGCTGCTTGAGACTGAGGCCAGCAGGGCGAGAGGGGGCGGTCGGGAGTGTGGGTCTGCGGGGCTCTCCTCCCCTCCCTGCTGTCCATACCAGGGGTGCCTCAGGAGGGGACCAGGAGATGGGCGTGGGAATTTTTCCTCTTCATTTCTTTCCCAGCCACCGCTGGAGCTGCTGCCGGGCCCTGTTCTCGGGGCTCCCCTGGCTCCCGCCTCTCATCTCCCAGAGGGCTGCCCAAGGCTTCCAGGGAGGGTCTAGTGGGCCTGGAAGGGTTTCCCCGCTGCGCTCACCTCCCCGCAGCTTGGGTCCCTGGGGCCCTGGGCACCGCCTGGCATAAGTGCCCCCTGCTGCCCTCCCCCAGCCAGCAGCTCTCATTCCCTCCTCACCCCTCTGGGCAGAAATGGCTAATCCAGGTGGTTAATGAACAGACACACGCAGCTGCTTTCCACCCCCCTCTCCTTCCTCTCTTCCCACCCCTGTCTCCTCCTCTGACCCTCTGATGCCCTGCCTGCCACCCTTTCCCAAGTGGGGGAGTCTATGCAGAGCTAAACCTCAGTGTCTGGCCCCCACCCCCCGATTCAGGACCAGGGCCAGGACTGCCTGCCCAGATGTTTCTCTGCTGGCCACTGTCTTAGAAGAGGAAACTGGGAGGGGGTGACCGAGGGGTGACCAGGAGAAGTCTGCTGTGCCCCCCAGCCGGGCTCCCTGCAGGGCATGGGGTTAGGGGACAGGATGGGTGCTGGGTAGGGGAGGGCAGGACAAGCAGTTGTGGGGTGAGGCTCAGAGGAGGAACTGGAAACCAGGGTTCCAGAATCTTTGGGGACAGGGGTTTTTCTTCTGGAAGCTGCAGAACTTCTTCCATGTGGCAGAATCAAAGCAGGGGGGTCAGGAGGGCGTGGGGGAGCACTCTCTTTCCTTGAGTCTCTGCTGGGCCCCTTCCTGAAGCTGCCTGGGTGGGGTGGGGACCATTGTGGCTCAGACTTGGCCTTAAGTCGCTTCTAACCCTGCCAGCTGGCGGCTCCTCCTGTCTCCCCCACCCTCGCTGTCCCCCAGGACCTCAGAACTGGTTATAGCCGAGCCCCCCATCTGCCCCCACCCCTTTGGCCCAGGGCTGGTGGGGACCTGTGTCTGCATGGGGAGCTGGGTGGGAGAGCTCTCAATAGGACCAGTGCTGGGATCCCCGCTTGGGGAAGGTCTCCCGGAACCCCGAGGTTTGGGAGCCAGGACTTTGATTCGGAGCTGAGAATTATCAGGTGGTGGAGGAGGGGGCGTGGGAATCTCTGCTTCCAGACCCCTGCCTCTCCTTCCCTATCCCTCTCTCAGTACCTCTCATTCTTCACTTCCCACAGAGCCCCAGCGAGAATCTCCCATGGGGGCCACAGCCTCCAGAATCGCAAACACCCTGGGGGTTGGTGGCCGGGTGTGGGGGGCTGCTGGGTGGGGTGCAGGGGAGTTCAGGGCCAACCTTGCCGTTGGATGACCATCTTCTCACCTCTGATGGACTGTAGCAGAAGACCTGGAGTTTGAGAATTCTCAGTGCCCTGTTAGTACTGAGGTGGGAACAGGAAGCAAAAAGGGAGAATGGATTTTTGCTTGGTGAAGGAAGCTTGGCTCAGGTCTGTTGAAGGGTTTCTTAACAAGCCTGCTGGTCAGCAGGAGAATGGGCTGCCTTGTGAGGTAGTGAGCCTCCCGTCCTGGGGAGAGTTCGGACAGCGGCTTGAAAACAGCTTGGAAGGATTCCTGAGCTGGGATGCGGTTAGGAGAAATGACCCTGGAGGTCTCTTGGGATGCTGAGGTCCTGGGATTCTTGAAGTCAGGAATTCTCGGACACCCAGAATGGGAGAGCAGGAAGGCGGTGGCCTCTGGCCTGGGGCGGGGGCACTGTCTTCTCCTCCCTGCCAGTGTTTGGGGAACAGAGAGCCCGATGCTCTCCCCTCACACCCATTGCGTACTCTCCTGCCAGGTCTGTCCCAGCTGCTTCCTGCAAGGATTCTGAGTTTCTTCCGATTCTTCCTGTCTTATTCCGAGCCTTGCCCCGCTGGTTAACCCCACAAGGGCCAGCACAGACCTGTGTATGGTATGGAATGGAAGGGATGCCATAGACCTCACCCCCTGCCCCCTGCAGTTAGAGCCCATGCTCCCAGCTAAGGGGGCTAACTGGGGGCCAGTGTGTGAGGATTAGGGATAGGGGTGTGCTTTGAGGTTTGGCAGCTTAAACCCCTGCCCAGTTCGTACCCCCTGACCCTGGCCCTCCCCCCACCCCTCCCCCCCCACAAGCCCATGAGAAGGGGCCTCCCCAGCCTGCTAGGACATAGTAGACAGAGGAGAAGTGCCAAGGTCTGAGATGCAGAAAATCCCCGCGTTGGCTCTTACCTGAGCCTCAGTTTCCAAATTTGTGAAATAGCACAGGGTGGTCAGGGGCAGCTTGCAGTGGTTTGTGTAAGTCGCAGGGGGATTTCACGGGAGGAGTGTGGGAGGAGCAGATCACTCGCTGTGTCCGCGTCACCTCTCCAGACCTGTGTCTCTGTGGTGTGGGTGCCAGGCTGCCAGAGGAGAGGCATTGTGGGGTTGGAGATACAGGGTTTGGAACCCCAAACCCTGGGAGGCTGGAGCTTTTCATGATGGGAATGTCAAGGTGGGCTTCTGGGAGAGGCTCAGGAACCCACCCGGGCTCCGTCCTTCCCGTCCCGGCCTGCCTCTCCACACAACCCCTGTGACTCCTTTTCTCCTTAGTGGAGAGAATGAAGGAGTAGGGTCTGAGGTCCCCCTGGCCAACCCTCTGCCTCCAGTCAGTCAGTCCTGGCTTCGTCTGAGGATGAAGTCTTTTCGAAGTGTCTAAGTGTAGCCCCTCGTCTCGAGCCGGGACTAGATGAGGCAGCTTAATTAGGACACTCTTTGCTCTGGTCTGACCGAGACCCAATAGAAGGGCAGGAAGGTGAGATGCTGGGTGTGCCCTTGAGCCTAGAGAAGTCAGGGTTAGAGCTGGGGACAGCAAAGGCTCTCAGCTGCAGGTCATTTGGCTTCTTGGCTTCTTTCTGGGGCCATGAGTCTTACCCCAGAAAGGGAAACTGAGGTCCAGCTGGGGGATGTGTATTGGAGGGGGGCAGAGGAAAGCCCTCCCAGTTACTGGACTCTGAAAAAAGCAAGTGGGTGTGGTGCTGGGGGAGGGGGAGAGAGGTTTTCAGAGACTGGAGGGACTCTTGTCCCCAGTGCTCTATCCCCATGGCCCTGGCTCTTAGCTTTCAAAGCCATTAGGCACACAGAGGCGTGGGCACCAGTGAGCCGGAACGAGAGGAGTGGGGTGGAAGGGTTGCCAGCCTTGCGGGCCATGCCCACCTCCCTGGGTGCCCTACTCCATTATGCAAGGTCACACCTGGCCCTCCTCTCCTTCCTTTTCTCAAATTGCCTGAAGCACTTTCCCAAGAGGGGAGGTGGCAGGAGGTGCAGCTGGGTCCCTTGCCTGCCTCTACCCTGGTTAGTGACCTTGGCCATCTTTCTATTTGTCCACACTTTGGTTTCCCTCTGGGAGATGGTTGGTCTCCACAGAGTTGGAGCTTTGTGGGGTGGGGTGGTAGGTGGGCCCCAGCCAGTCCTTGGTGCTGCCTCCTCCGAGGCTAGTCTGGACTCTGTAATCCCTGCCTTTTTAGGGCTGGAGGCTTGTAGCTCAGGCCTGGGTGTTTCGGGAGGCAGCAGGGACTAGCCGAGGAGGGTGTGGTCCCGGGGAGCCTGCGAGCAACAAGGGGTGACAGCGGTGTCTGAGCAGAGTCCTGTCCTGCTCCCATGGTGAGAGGGAGTCCCAGTTAGAGGTCCGGGTTCCCCAGAAACCTTCCTAAGCCTTCTCTGGCAGAGAACATGGGACCCCTTAGTTTTCCCCGTCCTTCAAACTTCCCGTGTGCTCGTCTGTCTTCTAGCTGGATTACGAGCTCCTTGAGGCCAGGCCTGTGCCTTTTGCCTCTCTGGCGGTCCTTGCTCGGCCTGGCAGAGTGTTGCTCAGCACTAACTGGCTGCCTGATGAGGGGCAGAGGAGTGATGGTCTTAGATGGGGCCTGGGAGGACTTGCTAGGCCCGGAAACAGGGCTGAGTTTACTCAGAGGTCTAGAGTGAGGCAGAAAAGGTGACTCTGAAGGCCAGACTGCTGGGGCTCAACTGAAGACAACCCTATTTATTGACTGTGTGGCTTTGGCAAGTGACTGAACCTCTCTGAGCCCCAGTTTCCTCATCTGCAATAGGGGATAATAATTGTACCTGTTTCATGCTGTGGTTGTGAGTATCAAATGGGTTAGTCTATTGGAAACACTTCGAGCAGTGTTTGAGCCCGGCATGTAGCAAGTGATCAGCAAATGCGAGTAATTGTTATTATTGGTTCTGGTGGTGGTCCTGGTGTTTCTCTAGGGGCTCAGTTCACTCTTTTCTCTCTCTTGGGGTTGTTCCGTCCCTAAGACGGGAGCATTATGGGATCAGAGGGTGGAGGAGATGGTGGCATTTTCCCTTGAGGGGGTCCTAGCATCCGAGCCTAGAGAAGAGATTCCCCCTGACCTCTGTCTCTCTCTCTCTCTGTGAGTGTGGGGAGGCGGGGAGCTAAGGGGACCTCCCGAGGCCCTGTCTGCCCAGGGGAGCCGATGCAGAGCTGTGTTTATGGAGGACGCTGAGAAAATTGCCATCACTGTAAACAAGATGCATTATTATAAACCAGGCCAAGCTCCCCTCCTTGGATCCTATCCCATCCCTTGATGAGAGTCACTGAATCAGAGACTCCCAGGCCTGGCAAGAATGTGGCTGGCCTGGCCTCCAGGCAGGCTTCTCTTGACCGTGGACCATACCCATGGGGGTGGTGTCTGTATTGTAAAGTGGGATCCCCAAATAACTGCTGCAAGTTGCTGTGTCTTTATCCCTTAGGTCTCTCTGAAGTCTAACCTCCATCCCTCTTGCTGCAACTGTAGTTCAGTCCCTTGCTGGCGGGAGGTGGGGGAGAACCAGGCCCAGCCCTTCCTGCATGCCACATAGCTGGGGGCTTTGAACCTGTGGTAGGGGCGGGTCCTGGCCACACTGCCTCTTCCTCCCAGGGCTCTCGCCTCTCTGGGGTCCTCCACCTTCTGGTTCCTCATTAGCAGGGGTCAGCCCTAAAGGCCTGCCAAGCCGCACTCTCCACCTAGCCCGGGTTCCCACCCAGGGAGGCTGGGGGTGCTCCAGGTCAGGGGTGTAAGCTCTATTTCCGGACCCCTGGCCCGCCCAGTTGCAGCTGCAAAAGGCATTAAACTTTTTTTTGGAGAAAGAATGGGCTTGGGTTGATGATGATGATGACAGCTGGGGAGGGTTCCTGAGCTCAACCCGGCCCTATCTCGCTTCCCCTCCTCAGCCCTTGCTCACCTCTGCTCCATTTCTAGGCCATTGCTCCTCTGGAGGAGGGGCTTGCCTTTGGCCCTTGACCTTGACCAGATCTGAGCAATCAACTGGTCTACAACAGCCCTTTATGGGGAGCAGTCTGTGGGTAAGGTCCTGGGTTTGGGGC